AAAAAAAAAAAAAAAAAAAAAATGTCATCAATTCCAACTCATGGCGACCCTGTGTGAACTGACTGTGCCCCATAGGGTTTTGTTGGCTGTGATCTTTGTGGAAGCAGATTGCCAGGCCTGTCTTCTGTGGTGCCGATGGGTGGGTTCGAACTACCAACTTTTAGGTTAGTAGCTGAGAGCAAACTGTTTGTACCACCCAGGGACGTTTCCATAAGGTCCCTGTGAGTTGCTATCGAGCCAATTCTGACTCATGGCGACCCCATCTGTTACAGAGTAGAACTGCTCCATTGAATTTTCTTGGCTGTAATCTTTACAGAAAATACCATGGCTTGGTATTTTCAACGGCCTCATATGTATGCGAAAGCTGGATGATGAATAAAGAAGACCGAAGAATTGATGCCTTTGGATTATGGTATTGGCGAAGAATATTGAATATACCATAGACTGCCAGAAGAATGGACAAATTTGTCTTGGAAGAAATACAGCAGAATGCTCCTTAGAAGCAAGGATGGCGAGACTTCGTCTCACATACTTTGGATATGTTATCAGGAGGAATCATTCCATGGAGAAGGACATCATGCTTGGTAAAGTAGAGGATCAGTGAAAGAGAGGAAGACCCTCAATGAGATGTATTGACACAGTGGCTGCAATAATGGGCTCAAACATAACAACAGGTGTGAGGATGATGTGGGAGCAGGCAGTGTTCATTCTGTTGTACATATTGTTGCTATGAGTCGCAACCGTGGAGCACAGTTCTACTTTGTAACACAGGGTGTCGCCATGAGCCAGAATCGACTCCACAGCAATGGGTTGGGTTTTTTTAATACCATCTAATACAATACATGGAGCCCTGGTGGTTTAGCGGTTAAGAGTTTGGGTGCTAACCAAAAGGTCAGCAGTTCGAATCCAACACCCGCTCCTTGGAAACCCCATGGGACAGTTCTACTCCGTCCTATAAGGTCGCTATGAGTTGGAGTCAACTGGAAGACACATAACAACAATCAGTTGATGGAGAGATGGGGAGATAATCCCGGATTAACTGGGTGGACCCAATATAATCACCAGTTAACCAACTGCCATTGAGTCAATTCCAACTCATGGCAACCTCTTGTGTGTTAAAATAGAACTGTCACTGGGTTGTCAATGGCTGATTTTTCGGAAGTAGATCACCAAGACTTTCTTCTGAGGCACCCCTCGGTGGTCTCAAACCTCCAATCTTTCAATCAGCAGCTGAGCACGTTCAACTGTTTGCACCACCCAAGAACTCAGGGCCCATAAATATGGACTTCTCTCTTGCTCCCACTTTATAGATGTGGAAACTGAGGCCCTGAGAGAGTCACTTCCTGGTCTCTTGGAGCTGTGTGTGAGGGGGACGGCCCCATGTCCCTTCACTGTGGGTAGTTTCAGGTTGCCCTATAATCCACGCACCCCCCCTTTCAGTAAAAACCACAAGGAAGGAGCTTAGAAAATTTCTTTTTCTTTTCCTTTGAAATAACACACATGGGCAGAAAGGTGGGACATGGTATGGGTGGAGGGAGGTAGAAGCTGTGGGGGGTCCTCTGGCCCCCCAAACACCCCACTTCCTCTGTCACAGCCCCTCAGTAGGGCTCCCCAAAGAGTAAGGAGTGGAAGGAGGGGATCCCTTAATGATCCTAAGCTCAGAATCCAACTATAAAGTGCAGAATACATAGAGTAGTTGGATGGGGGCTTGGATTTGGGAGGGGGTGTCTGCTTCTCTCTCTGGTAGAAAAATAGACCTGCCTGGGTTTGGGGGTTTGGCTTTCTTTTTCTTTTTGCATAATTGGAGACTTGGATTCAGGGAAGGGGGTCTGTGTGGAAGTGCTTATGGCTTCCAAGAGGGGCAGAGCCTGGGGAGGGGCTGGCAGTGCTGGGGTGAGGAATTCCCCTTAATTGCCCCACCCCGGCCTCAGAATGCCCCCTTGCCAGCCCCCAGGAACTCTGGGGGTGGGTGTTTGTCTGTAAGGTGGGGAGGGGGTGGAAGACACTGCAGAGTGGAGGGGGGTGCCAGGGAGCAGATTCCCCGCAAGGCCCAGAGGCTCAGCCATGCTGAGGAGGTGGGAAGGAGTAGGGTGCATGGAGGGTTCAGCCTCCGTGCGGGGAGCAGGAGGTGCACCCCCTTCCCTTGCCGCCTGGCCCAAGACGAGTCAGGACCATTAGACAAACCCCATGGGTATTCTGGAGCCGGGAGACCAGGAGCTAGGCTTCCTCATAGGCTCCCAAGACCGTGGGATCCTGTGTCATGGGGCAAGGGCTCTGGGCTCTGGTGTGTGTTGGTGATGGGGACGTGTGGGATCCAGGACCCTGTGACCAGGATCTTGGGGTCTGAAGGCTCGAGATCCGGTGCCTGGGCGATTCAAATCTGAATCCAGGGGTCAAGGAGTTGGGATTCAGTGCCTGAAGTATTAGGGTGGGACTTCCCTGGAGGAGGTTTCAGAATCCAGTGATGGGGCCAAGTGATCTGGGATGGAGAATCTGGCATCTGGCAGCGGCAGTGCCCAGATCTGGTTGCTGTTGTGCTCTCAGGTTTGTGGTTTTAGGAGCCAGAATCCAGTGGGTCAGGGCTTGGGGACCTTGGATCCAATGGTTGGGGTTTGAGCGTGTAGTGGCTGAAATGTAGGGACCCAGCAATTCAAGCATAGGGATCTGGGATCCAGTGGTTGAGGCATAGGAACTCAGTAATCCAGTGGATGGGATGTGGAGGGGAGTCTGGGATCCAGTGGTTGGGGGTTGACGGTGTAGGGTTGAAACATAGTCATCCAACAATCTAAGCTTAGGGATCCAGGAGCCAATGGTCAAGGCGTGGGTGGGGAGATGGGAGATAAATGTATAGCGCTTGAAACAGGGATCCAGTAGTTGAGGCAGAGGAACTCAGGAATGAAGTGGTTGGGGTGGGGGGATCTGGGATCCAGTGGTTGGAGGCTGAGGGTATAGTGGTTGAAATGCAGGGATCTGGCAGCCCAAACATAGGGATCTGGGATCCAGTGGTCGCGGCAGAGGTATTCAGGAATCCAGCGGTTGGAATCGGGGGATCCAGTGGTCAGGGTCCCGGGATAGACGTTGCATTGTCAGGATCCAGTGATTGAGGTTTCTTGATCTCCAGGATCAAGTGGCTGAGCCCGGAGATCCAGGGCTTGAAGCATGGGGATCTGGGGTTTGATGTTGGGGCTGGGGATATAGGACCCAGTGCAGCGTGGGCACACTGGATCTGGAGACTGAGGGAGCCGGGGTATAGGTGTTGGGGTTTGGGGCTATGTGTTCCTGTGGTTGAGGTATCAGGATCCTTTAGCTGAGTTGTGGGGAATCCAGTGGTTAAGACATGGCGATCCAGGATCCAGAGGGTGGGGCAGGGGAAGGTGGGATCTAGTAGCTGGGAAGTAGGGAGCAGGATCCAGTGATTAGGGGGGATCAGGATTAAAGGGCTAGGATGTGGAGGACCTTTGATCTGGCGGTTAGGACATCAGATGCGAGTTGCTCGAGTGTGGATTCCACAGTTAGGTGATGGGGATCAGGATCCAAAACTGGGGTAGTGGTACCCCGTGGTGGGCGTGTGGGGATCCTGTGATCCAGTGGGAGAGCAGAGGAGCCCAGGATCCAGGATTCAGGACTGGGATGCAGTGGCTGAAGTGTGGAGATCCAGCGGTTGGGGGGGGCGGGGGGCGGAGATCTGGGATCCAGTGGTTGGGCTCTGAGTCTCTAGTGGCTGAGGTGTGGGGGACATCATACTTGGGGTGAGGGATCTCGGGGGGGCGGGCTCCAGGCTCCTCACCTGGATGTCACCCCCAGGGCCTGCTTCATGTTCTCGTAGACCACATAAGAGATGCTCACCGCCGGGATAACCTTCATGAAGTTGGGGGCGATGCCCCGGTAGAGGCCCCGCACGCCCTCCTGGGACAGGATGTGACGAAGCAGGCCCAGCATGGAGAGCTGGGGGGCGCCCTCAGTGGAAGCTGTGAGGGGCAGGGTGGCCAGGTCAGGCCCAGGGGCCCTTCTCGCTTCCCCCCGCCCCACACCTCAGGGCTAGACCAGGCGGCCACTGCAGCAGGAAGGGGCAGAGTTAGACCAACAGTGGGGCCTACCACTCAGAATCAGGGGTTCCACAGCCTTGGAACTGGCTGCTCCCTTTCCACCCCAATCCTGAGGTCCTAAGTCTGGGGATAACTAGAAACAGAGCGTGCGTGCGTGCGTGCGTGCGTGTGTGTGTGTGTGTGTGTGTGTGTGTTGTGGGCGTGCAGCAGGGGAGGGCAGAGATTTCCTCTGCCTGGAACTCACTCTCCTCCTCCTTTGTACAGCTAACTCCTCATCACCACTTTAAAGCCACCTCTTCAAGGAAGCCCTCCGTGGTGCCCCAGTCTCAGCCAGGCCCCACCCTCTCCTCTTCATTCACCCTTAAATCCATACTTCGTCGTGGAATGGTTTATTTAGCATCTTTCTTCCCCTCCCACCTGTGAGCTCTCTGGGGTAGGAACCACGGCCGTCTCATGCACTGATACATCCCCAGGGAATATCATGCACCACAACAGCTAGAATTCCCGAGGGAATTCTCAAACCCGATTCAGGGATAGTAAAAAAGAAAAAGCAAGAAGAAAGAAAAAAGGAAGTCCATAAGAAGAAAATACAGAGACAGACAATAACCAGCCTCGC